TTTTTTATTTTATTTTATTTATTTATTTATTTTTTTTTTTTTTTTTTTTTTTTTTTTTTTTTTTTTTTTTTTTTTTTTTTTTTTGAATAAAATAATATGGTTTATTAGACAATCTCGCTCTATCTATATAAATTCATAACATACTGGAAAACACTTAACAGATTCGACTATATAGACTGGTATAAATTCCATGTATCTAAACTATTAATAAATACTTCAACGTGTAAGTCCCTTCGCTCTCTTAAATCTTAAATAGAAGTACGAAAGCCCAAAACTTTTATTTCTAAACTTTCTAAACGATTTGCAGATAAACAACAAAAATGATGGCCCAAACAAAGAACGAACTTAGTTGGGATTTAATAGGCAATAGCTTAAGTTCCTTGACCCAACTACAACTTGACACAACTCAACTAGAGGCCTACCCCTAATACAACCTCTCCCCATCCGAAAACTGTCGTTATTCCTTTGTTTTCATAGCACCCTTTGTGTGAGTCAGCAAAAGTTTTGCAGACCTTTTAGGCCCCCCTTTAGCACAAAAAAAAAAATTATGATTCACCTTCTTTTCGTAACATAATTTGTAGCTAATTGTCCCTCGGTAATCCCCTACAGGGCTACCAGACTACACCCTCCCCTCACACTCACACACCCAGACGCATAGAAAATGAAGCGACTTTACTACATTCGGCAAATGGCAACAAAGTGCTTTTTAACGCAATTCGAGGCTGTACGAGGGAGGCGTCCCCTCTTGTCATTCGTCGTCCTGGAAACCCCCAACTCACACTTTGCCCTCCTTCAACTTTAGCCGTCAACAGGAAATGCAATAAGCGCACGCACAAGGGGGCGCTTGAACTACTTGCCGCCGGCCAAGAGGGTGCACAACCCCTTAAAGCAAAACAAAGAGTAGAAAAAAAAATAACAGCAACAAAAAAAGTAAACAAGCGGCGGCGGCAAACGAACAAGGAACTTTTCTAGATTTTCATTTCCAGCGTCACACACACACAGAAACAGACACTAACACACACATACGCGTCCACAAAACATCCGTCAACAAAAGCCACACTCGAAGAAGTTGGGAAGTGAAAGCAAAACGGCAAACCGAAACCGAAACGAAATGGAACGAAAATCAACCCTCGAAGAGGCGCCCAGTGAAGCGGCAAAGCAACAAAACGCGCGCTCCCCAAATAATAACGGCAGTTCGCTCATGGACTGCGCCACTGCGAGCGGGGGTTGGGTGGGTGCAACTGTCTAGACTGAATGTATGTGCACATTTATCACGCACACACACACATACACACGCACACGCACAAAGTAAGAGAGAGAGAGTGAGACACACACATACGCACGCACGCACACGGATAGAGCCTGTGCAAGAGGCATTGACTTACCGTTTTAAGTTGTATTTTTTGCTCGTCTCAGTTTTTTTATGTGCTGTTTTGTTTTTGTTTTTGTATTTTCTTTCGTTTTTTTTGCATTCGCTTTTAATGCAGTCAAAAAATTAATGCCAATATGGTCCTTATTATTATTATTATTATATTTGTTGTTGCTGCTTTGTTTCCATTTGTTACTTCCGCTCGATTGTTGTTGTCGTCTAGTTTTGTTTCATACTTTACGGGTGCTGCCAATTTCAGTTGCCAATCGTGAATTGCGTTGCGCGCACAAAATGCTGCAATGGAAAAGTGAACGGAAAAAAACACGTTTAACTATTTGTACGAATTTGTATTTTCATTAATAGATTTTCATTGCTCTTTTTTTTTGTTTTTTTCCTAAGTAATATCATTTCTCTATTATGATAATTGCCTATGCACTTTTCACAGTTTATAGTCCCTGGTAACAACAAGACGGAGCCGAAGTAAATGACAACGCGACGCGTTTGCGACGCAGCTCCCTGCAAAACTAACTTTGCGCATTATTCAGCGACCCGGGTAAAGCTGCCACCAGGAGCAGCAACAGCAGGACAGCAGAGTCGAAGTCGACGTCAACAGCGACAACGACTGCGCTGCTACTGCAGAGAGTGTGTCTGCATGTCCTGTACGCAAACCGACGAGCAGGCAGAAAAACAACAACAGCAGCAGCAGCGCAGCAACAGAGCAGCATCAGAAAATGCATCGCTGCACATTGCTGTGGGCTGCATAAAACAAAATTATTCCCAATTACCAGCCGAAACACAACACACACAAAGATAAACACACACACACACAAGCAGAGTTGGGAAAAATCAATATTCATATTTACAGTGCGCGCCGCGCACACGGAAAGACAGGCAAACACACAGGCACACGGCAACAAGCGCCTTTGGCTTATGCATATGCGTGAGAGCGAGAGAGGGAGAGAGAGTCAAAGAAAGACGGCAGCATAAATGCCGAACTGTTGAATGCCGGCCCAACCGGTCCAAAAAAAACTAAATTGTACAGCCAGCCCCCGCCGAGCGCACGGGCAAAACAGAGCAACCCTTAAAACAATATGGCGTCGGCCAGTCACCCACTCATACCACCAACTAAAAGCAACAATTTTCCATGGCCGAACCTGAAGACAGCGACGCTGCCGCGCTACAGCGCTACAGGTTGCGTGCTCAGAGAGTGAATTGTAACAGGAAGCAACAGCGAACGATAAACCGATAACACGACACACACTCTCTCACTATGCCTCTCTTTGTCGCTCTCTTTGTGCCTGTCTGCCTCTCGCACTTTGCAGCCTTGCGCATGTTTTACAATTTTCGGCAATGACAACGACCGCATCAAAATACAACAACAATGACAACTAATGGCGCTCTCAGTTGCTGCTGCTTCTTCTTCTTCTTCTAATGCTCAGTGGGCGAGAGCATACTTTTTCGAATATGCTGCCGGCGGCGCCACCAGAACTTTCGCGTCGAATTCGAGCAACTCGCCTTACCAGGCGATTGTATGCAGTCTAACTGCAAAAATAAAAGTGGAAGAGAGAGAGAGAGAAGTTCGTCTTCCCTTTTGCATGCTGTTTGTTCTTTTTGTTGTCACAATGCATGGAAAATGCTAGCAATGACGCGCAGACAGCAGATACCAGAGGAATTGCAACAGCATACAAGCATACGTAGGTAAGCATATATGTTTGTATGTACATATATGTATGTATTCGTGTATTTTTGGGTACGTATGTATGTGTATATTTGCATATGTAAGTATGTGTGAATGGATTTATGTAAGTGCATAGCAAAAATTTCTCTACACGTAGACAAAATAGCCAGACACTTCTTACATTTGTGCATACACAAACATACACATGTATGCATGCACCGAATATTCACATATATATATATACACATGTATTGCATATACATACATACATATGTTATTACATTAGGCAACGGGCAGCCTTTTTGAAAGTGTTGCCAACTGTTGCAATTAAAGTTCAGATGAATAATTGACAACATGCACATATACATACATATATATGTACATATGAAGATACATATGTACATACATAAATATTCCCATATTTTTTGCAATGATTGATTGCATTCGAAATTCCACAAGTTTAAGATTGTTTTCTAAAATTATGCACTTTCAGTCAGTAAAAAGCGGAGTAATTCTATGTACAATAGTCGTTCGCTAGAACAGCTCTGCTCTCATTAAATGTTTCTTTTTACTTAAAACCTAATTTTTTGTTTATTTATCAGTTAACAATAACAGCTAATGCCATTGATCGCGCATTCATATAAAAATACAGTTCTGACTCAATACATAGGTTTTCATAGCCGAGCAATTTCAACAGGTTGGTTAATAATAAACTTATTGCGTGACACTTTAGAGGCATCAATAAATATGTTAACAGTAGTTGCTCTTTAGACGCCTATGACCGCAACATATCTAAAATAAAATAAAACGAATATCTGTATAAATAAATATATATTTTATAAACGGTTGTACTAAATTACCAATTGATAATGCGACCCGAGTGATTAGATTAGCAAATCAGGTCTGCACGGGTTGTACAGGTTGATAATGTCGTGACATATGTATGTATATGTATGCATGTTCATATGGACTCGGCACAGATAGTTAAATCGTATATTATCATGACAGAAAGCGAAAGACAGGGATAGAGGCAGAGAATGATGGAACAGCGACAGAACGCGAGAGAGAGGGTCGAGCTTTATGGCTATGCCATATGTTGGCTCTTAGCACGGTTGATGGGAAACATGTACAACACGAATTCCAGAGGGCCTGTAAAAGCATTTAAAAATAGGAGCTAATATAAAATAATAATAATCAGGCAGTCAGAGTGATGGGCTGGCAATACACTGCACTGCACTGCATTGCTCTGCACTGAGGGCGTGCGTTTGGGTCATTAAGTTCAACGACTAGATGAGTGCGTGGGAGGAAAGGGGGGCATGGTCTGCGCAGTGTTTGACGTGTGGAATAGGAACAGAAACTGCGCAGCCATTACTAATGCAAAACAATTTGTAAGATTATTAATTTCATGGCTGAAAAGTGTGCACGGAAAAACAGACGGAAACAAAGTACAGCAAGAAGAGCCGAATGATGATGAAGAACGAGAATAAGCAGAAGTAGACAAGATGCGGAGCAGCGAACAAAAAAATAATATCAAGTTCAGGGCAGGCAGACAGGCAGGCAGGAACAAATGGGATGGGGTAACTGCAAACAACAGTGGAATGAGAGACAGAGACCATAAATATTGCCAACAACATAAAGCGTAACGGCCAAAAGAAGTTCTGCGCAAAATACTAAAATGCAAAAATGCATTTAGAGTTTGTTTCATTTTCACACACATATACATATGTACGTACATGTATATAGAGAGCGAAACAATTGCGCTGCATTACAAACAAACGTTTCAATTCGTATCGTTCCCTTCTGTCCATTTGGGGTTGCAGCAGCAGCAACGGCAGCAGAGTTCAATGGTACCCAGCGGCAACAACCACAACAAAGCCAAAGAGCATGACACAGACGCGCAAAAAATAGAAGCCCAGCACAAAGCGCAAACTGTAAAACAGAACAAAGCATGCGAAATTTGCGACCACGACGTCGAACCGTTTACCTGCGCCATCGTTTCTAAACGGGCTGCAGCTGCAGATACACACACACCTAAACAAGCGAACTTACTGTATACTGTATGTATATGTGCGAATGTATATATGCATGTATATTTGTGAATGTTCCTAGAGTCATGGACGTGGCCATCGACAAAAGGTGCCGCCTCTGCCAGCGGATAGAGATGGCGATGGCGATGGCGAGCACCGTGCACGACCCGCGTCTGATGCAAATTTTTATTTGCCTTTTTTTCAGTCGACGCAAAACCAATTCGCTGAATTCAAAGACATTGTCAGCATCTTGGCTATTCCTTGGCTGCCCCCTTTTCCCAACAACTCAGATGTCTCGAGCTATGCGTCAGCAGCATGCGACCCCCAATGCAGTGGCAGCGACGGTAACGACGGCAGCAGCAGCTGCTGAATGAAATTCATTCGACGACGGCGTATTTTATTGAACAAGAAGACAATGGCAAACGACCCCCACATACACAAGGGAGTTGTTTTATTGTTGTAGGAGACGACAGCGACACAAGCGACTAAGAATGGCAGACAACACGAACGGAATAACAGCAACAACGACAGTAACAACAACAATAACGGCAGCATCCAATTTAGCAGACAACGCAGCCACAACACAGTCACAGTCGCAGACACTCCATGAACTGCTGCCTCTGCCATCACCAATTCTTATTATCTCCTCACTATCCTCCCACCCTCTCTCACACACACACACACACTCTCTCTCTCTCTCTCTCTCTCTCTCTCTCTTTCTCTTATAGCTATCTTATTCCTCTTATGGCTGCATCAGTAGCTGCTCTGTTTTGAGCTTCTCCTTGCAGTCTTGTTCGCCAGGTCAACGCGCACTGCATTTCAAATACCCTGTACTTTAAATTGAGCTGCTTCTGTAGTTTATGTCTTGTAGGCGGGCTACACCTGATCTGATCAAATTAGATCAACTTATAAACGATTAATTATTGACTTTTATGATGTACATTAATTGTTGTTATACACTTTTTTCTTACATACATATAAACTATTTCCAAGGTATCTCACTTCATGCAATCATGCCTGTTTCAATTCTTTTTCACTCGTTTTGCATTGCGTTTGCTTTCTTACTGCGCTCTGTAGTGTCTGTGGCTCGTGAGCTCGGCCGTCGGCTGTGACACTCTCCTGTTAATGGTAATGGAGTTAAATGTGCTTATTGTCCTACTGTTTACAGTGGCGTGCTTGCACATTGTGCCGCTCAATTTCAATGCACTTTATAGACACACACATCCACGAGTACAGTGACGTACATTTCAGTGCTCGCGGATTCACAAATTGATGTAACCGAAAAGATCTTGTTTCATATCTGTAGCACAATTCAGTTGCAGCTCTTTATAGCATCGCTGCAGCCGATGCATCCAATCAAATGGTACGTGTCTGTTGGTACGTTTACGTGTAAGCTTTTGATAAATATTTACTATCTACTTTAACATTTCCAATTAGAGTTGTACCACTTTTCGCTGTGTACACTGGCGTACAGTACAGTGTGTATATATCTATATACATATATATATATACGAACATACAAACGTATATATTGTGTGTTGTATCGTATTCTTTATCTATTACGTGGAGCTCGTACCCCCCAACGGGGC